AAGACATGGTTGGGGCTTCCACTAAACCTTTTTTCCACTAAAAAGAAAAGAATAAAGAGAGGCAAAGAGAAGCCTGTAGGAACTTCAGATCAGAGCCCAGGCCCCACATTTTCCCCCTCTGGGCTGTGGTTATTTTGCCTGAAGGCCACCAGGGGCAGCAGATAGCCAGCACACAGGCAAGGAAATTGGCCAAGCCAAAAGGGTTGAGGGGGTCACAACCCACACAGGGACACCAAGGCTTATAGATAGATGGGCCATTACACATCTTGTAACCAGTGGCCTAGGTCCAGGGCTCCTTGTGGCTTTCCCGTTGTGGATCATATCCCCATCATAGGCTGTCCTAACAGAAGAAAACGGAAGTGACTTTTTTTTTTAAGTACATGGTCGTGATACCTAAGACTGCTTTTACTATGGGTGTTTGGTACTTGTGCATAACACATTTTAATTCTTTTTTATGTCCGCTTCCCCTCCCATCCTTTCTCCCTTCTCCCATCTCTTGGTCCCCTTTTCATTGATAGTTTATTAACTTTTTTGTTTGTTTGTTTGTTTGGTTTTTTGAGACAGGGTCTCACTAGGTATTGAGACTGACCTGGAACTCACTATGTAGCCCAGGCTGGTCTTGAACTCATAGCGATCCTCCTGCCTCAGCCTCCTGAGTGTTGGGATTACAGGCGTGCACCACCATGCCCAGCAGTAATTTATTAACTCTTGCCTGGCTGTTTTTACATTTTTTTAACATCATCAGCAGCAGCAGCATCACCTCATTATTTTAAGGAGGAGACATCAGTGTTTTGAAATCCAGATTCACATGGATTTCAACTTTTCAACTATACTTGGGGCAGGCTCTGTAATTCACTGATGATTGGGTTAGCATCCCTGGCTCTTAGCACTGGTCACTAGAATAATTACCTCTCAGGTGGTTTCATGCATGGCCAATCATTTATGTATGTTTTGCTGCCCTGGTTTCAGTGGAAGAAATCTGAAAGGTGTTACTGCCCTTAGGAAAAGCTGTTCTCTGTCAGCTGGCTTGGGTGGGAGAGGGTCCCTTGAGCAGGTCACTACTACCATCCTGACCTCACTGAACCTCCCACAGAGTGCAGAGCCTGCATGGCAGTGGCTCTGTTAGTGAAAGTGTGGGCTTTCGCCTTGCGTGACTAAGGGCCCCAGGGATGGAGGCCCAGAGAAGGCAAAAGGGCCTCTGTCCAAGCTTTTTTTGGGCTCTGAGCTGCCACTTGAGTCTTGTTTTGGCTTGGTCAGAAAGCCTGGTGTGCTCTAAGTAGATTAGCAAGTCTTTTATTGGAAAAGACCTGGAAACGGCTTTCTTCCTGGGGATGGTATGGCCATCTGGGTGGATTGGTCCTGCTCTTGGTGAGGGCATTGAGCCAGAGCCCCATGGCCCTCTCCAGATGTGCTCCTGGCCTGGCGTGGCCTGACACACAATTCCTCTCTGCTCAAGGCTTGCAGATGTCTTTGTGTCTTGGGTTTGTCAGATCTGGCCAAGACTAGGAGATTGGCTGGGCTGTAGTCCTTCAGGCAGATGTGTTGTTCCTGATGGAGCCTAGTTGGAGACTGGAATAGACAGGAAGTACTTACTAGGCCTCCAGCTTCTGAGAGAACTGGAAATGAGCCAGGCCAGCAAGTGAAAGGAAGGAATATTTCCACTGGGTCGAGCATGGACAGCTTCACACCTCCTCTGTGGTCTCAGAGCTTCCCTCAGGGCCCCCAGAGCCACTTCTTACTGGGCGGCTCTTGCTGTTGTATCTTAGTTAGGCTCCGCCTTTGTGTCCCTGGTGTGTGGCGATGGCTTACAGGTAGCAGGCACAGGTGATGGCTGGCTGAGAAAATAGGTGGAAGAAACAGTCAGGACAGAAAGTGGGATCCCTGCCATAGCCAGAAGATAAAATGACAGAGTCTGTGGGTCTTCTGATATCAGCCACCATGAGAATGGAAGCAGTGAATCAATTTGTACAGTTCTCTGGGTTTCTTTTCTGCTTTAGGAGGAACAGGTGTCTGTTTGTGCCTGAATAGCTGAGGAGCACATTGGGTAGGGATCTCCTTTGTGTGGTCACAGAGCCCAGTCCCTGCTGGCCATCTGTCCTTACATCCATCCAGTGGGTGCTGTGTGCGTGAGGTTGAGCCAGAGGTCAAGGTGAAGACCTGCCCTGTATGAGACATGGACAGAATTCTGACTTCCTAGGAGGGAGCTTGATGGAATGTGCATGTGGCGGTTTGAGGTCAGCCTCCCAGATGGGTTTGAGATGTGTCTGTGCAGGAGGTTCAACAATGAGGCGAGACCGGGAAGGGCAGGAAGTAGTAGTGCAAGGCAGTCTCCAAGAAGGCCTCAGCCTGTCCCATGCAGAGCTCTGAGCTTGCTTTAGAAACTGTTAGACCTAAGGGGCCTGGAGATGCATAGCTTGGCCCTGGATTCAGTGTCTAGCACAAAACAACAAAATAAAACAACAGAATTGTTGATCTTGAGGCACGGAGTCTAATGAGCCTTACACCCTCATTCCCTTCCCTTCCCCCACCCCAGCTTTGCCTTGGGAAACCCAGCTCCCTTTGACACTACTCCACCATTTTGGGGTTTAACCACAGGGCAGGAAAGCAACCTTAGATGACTGCATGTCAAAGGAAGCATTTTAGTTGAGACTTGACAAATGCATGAGATTGTGATTTCCAGGGTTGGGATTGGAGAGGGTAGGGCATGTTCAGGGGTCACTGCAGGGCGTTCACTGGGTCTCAGGTGAGGTCAGTAGGAAGTCAGTCTCAACAGGCAGACAGGCCCTGGAGCACCTTGCTGGGAGGACTGTGGAGCGTGTGCTGTGTAACCTGTGTGCCAGGTAGGAAGGGGATTTTCGCAAGTGAGTGACCTATTGCAAGAGCTGGCCTGCAGGGCTAGTGGTCTTCTGGCTGAGCATGGACGGGTTGCAGGTAAGGAGAGGCAGGAGGTAGAAGACAGAAAGATGGAGGACAAAGAGGAGGAGAGGAGAGGGATGTGACAGAGGGCTGTCTTCAGAGAAACCAATTAGATTAGGGTGGAGGGACATGAGAGGAGCTGGGGAGTGGGGTGGGTTCTGTCACTGGGTCTCTGATGGCTGCGACCCAGGAGGAAAGGGCTGCAGAGAAGAGCCCAAGTTGCCTCCAGGAAGGACCAACCCTGCAGCAGAAGAGGTCTCCTTAGAAAGGCACATCCCAGAGGCACATCTACTGCCTGGAGAGCCCCTCACTTTTTCAGGAAGAGCTCCAGGGCCACTCCATGTTTTCTGTTCGCTCCTGGAAGTTCCATCTTGTCTCCAGTTCCAGGCTGTCTCATTGTTGCTCTGCACCAGCGTCATCCTATGCACTCTACACTTGGTAACTCACTTAATTCTCTGTTACAACTCTGTTAGGTCCTGTTGTCATCCACTGTTCACAGCAGAGAACAGAATGAGAGCTGAGCTGTTCTGGAGGCTGCCCAGCTTAGTTGTGAGTGGTTGACCACGCATGCTTTCCAGGGGCCAGGCAGGAGCCCTTACTGGCTCTCCTGGCCCTTGCTGGCCTCTTGCCAGCCAGTGCAGCCTCCTCCTCAGGAAGTCCCTGCGCCCACTCTCAGGTCTTCCCTTTGCAGACCCCACTGCTCTCTGGGTTTTGGTCACCTCCTCCTGGCTGCTTCCTTGATTCTCCTGCCATTCTGTTAATTCTCCCTTAAGACAGGAAGAAAACATCCTGAAACCCCTCAAAGCTGGAAGGCAGGAATGCCAGGCCCTATGAGACCAATTAGCCCAACCTCTTTGTTTTAGATGAAAAATTAGAGACCAGAGAGGTGATGTGACTTGGCCAGAACTATGCAGTAATTTAGGAATGAAGCTGAGAAGGAAGAAAATATCCCAAATGAGATAAGCCACCAGAGGATTTTGTTTTTATTTTCAGTGTTTTGAAACAGTTGCATTTGCAGTAATAGGATCTTTAAGCATGTCATTACCATGTACATGTAGGTCTAACTTAGAAAGGGCTTTATGCTAGAAGCTCTCTCTGGGCATTCAGCATTAATAACTTCCCTTAGATGTGTGCCTCTACTGAACCCATTTTACAGAGGAGGAAACTTGAGGCTCTGAGAAGCAAAGGAGCTTGGCCCAGGTCATACTAGGGTTAAGAAGTAGAGTGGGGATTCAGACTCAGCTAGTTGCTGCTGGCAGTAGAGACTTAACCACTAAACTGTCCAGCCCCTGCAATGATTTTGGAAAGATAACTCACAGAAGTTGATACATGAAAAAAAGTGCAGTATGATTTTGTTTTTAAGATGAACTTGTGCCTAGTGAACAGGTGGGCTTGTGGGATGCCAAAATGTTGATAGTAATAACCTCTGATGTGGGAATAATAGTGATACTTATTTTTCTTTTGTGTTTTCTTATATTCTCAGGGTGTATATAGTGAGAAAGTGTTGTTTTCATCACTATCATTGTACAAGAAGTCTGTGCACAGCAGTGAAATGCTGTGTATGGTGGCTCTTGCGGGGACAGTAAGGTAGCTGCAGTGTTAATTTTTGTGTTTCTGGCCAGGCTGTGTAACTGAGTATCAGAAAGGGGAGGGGTAGTAGTAATTCAAACAAGACACAGAACAGTAGAATTGGGAACATCCATGGAAATCACCTTGTTGGCAGATCCTAGGGGGTTTCAGGTGTAAATGGGCATTTGGGGAGAAATGCTCCTTCTGAAGGTGGGGTAGGGCTAGAGTCTGGAATCTTGAAGACAGAGGATGAATGGGGTGGGGGTTGGGGTAGGGGCATTTCAGAGCCAGAAGCCCACTTCCTCTGGCCCCGCCCTAATGAAGGGCCCCAGCAAAGAGAAGCTGCATCGTCATGAGGGATGGGAGGGAGATGGCTACGGGCAGAAAGCAGGGTTCTGTGTGGCCGGGTCAGCGAGGAAGGTCACGGCCACTGGCCTGTGACCATCTTGTTCTGCTCCATGTCTCTCAAGTTCCACCCTAAAATTCTCATCACAATTTTGTTCTTTCTTTGCCAGAGACCACCTGGGAACGCCCCAGCAGTTCTCCTGGGATTTCAGCCAGCCCTGGCCCTCACAGGAGCTCTCTGCCTCCAACAGGTACTGTGTGCATACCCTCTGGACAGGGGCAGGGCCACACCTGCCCTTGATGGAAGGCCCAAACTCTGGTCCTGGGGCCTGAAGCCTGGTGTGGACTCTTCTGGACCAGAGTCTTGGAAAGATCAGGCTGAGGAGGCCCCGGAAGCCTGTGGCAGGGTTGGTGATGCCCTGTCAGTGCCAGCAGCAGCTCTCGTGGCTTTCTACCCTCACCCACTTAGGTCCTTGGGGCAAAGAAGAGGCAGGTTGAGGTGATGTATGTGAGCTTTTCCCTGAGGTGGGACAGAGCGCCTCTGTGGGGCTCTTGTAGGCATCGAGGAGTCAAAGATAAAAGGATGAGGACTTCTACAGAGCAGTTTTCAAACAACATTCTAGGAAGGAAATATTAGGATATGAGCTCTCTGTCTTCAGAAGTAATCAAGTGGAAATAGCTGACGTAGACATTTCCATACAGGTTGGAGGTTTGTACAGAGGTTTCTTAGGAGACATCTAGTTCTGAGATTTTAGGAGGCAGGGTGAAGGGCCCACCAGCAGGAGAACAGCTTCTGATCTCAACCTTTATAGAAAGTTACATCTTCCAGGAAGATCCTGGTTCAGGGCTCTTGTCCCCTCACTCTGAATCACAGCTGTGTGCTGCTGTGTGGAGCTCAGAATTTTTTCTTTCCAGTTGTTACTCTCCAAGTCCATGTGCTCTCTGAGAGTAAGGTGAAGTCTTTCTTTCACTCTCTCTCACTCTCTCTTTTAAGTGCTGAGCTGCATTCCAAGCCCTATATAATTTTTTATTATTATCTTTTTTTTTGAGACAGGGTCTTGCTATGTAGCTCAGGCTGGCCTTGAACTCACAGTGTCACCCAGGCTGGCCTCGAATTCGTGGTGGTCCTCCTACCTCTGCCTCCCTAGTACTGGGATTACAGATGTGCACCACCATGCCCGGTTTTATTTTTTATATTGAGATAGGATCTCACTAAGATGTCCAGGCTGGCCTTAAATTTGCAATCCTTCTGCCTTAGCCTCCCAAGAAGCTAGGATTATAAGCACACGTGCCATGTGGTAGGTCAGCTGCATTTGCTGGCTTTCACCTTTCAGAGTTAACGTGGTATGGGGCTGCATCCCTGTAATCCCAGCACTCTGAAGCTGAAGCAGGAGGATTGTGAGTTTGATTGTAGTCTGGGAGATTTAGCAAAAAGCTAAGAAAGGGATGAGAAGGTAGCTCAGGGTGAAAGCCTTGGGTTCGATCTTCAATACTGAGACAGACAGATAGATGATAGACCAATGAACTTGGAGGCAAAGGATAGCTGCGAGTTTAAATGTTAGGAGGCTGAGAGTGATAAAAGGTCTAATGAAGTGACATCTTCCACTTACGACAGGCATGGAGCAGAAAAGAGAGTCCTCATAAAGTGCTAGGAAAAACCAGGAATGGTGGCACACATGTATAACCCCAGCACTGTGGGAGGCTGAGATAAGAGGATCTCAAGTGCAGGACCAGTCTGGGCAACTTAGCAGCTCGGTGAGACCCTGTCTCAAAAAAAACAGTTTTTTTTTGTTGTTGTTTTTTTTTTTTAAAGTTCTGAAGATGTAGCTCAGTGCAAAGGGTTCAATCTCTAGTATCGTTAAAACAAATAAAAAACAAAAGTTGTGGGAAGAAGAAATAGAGGTCCAAACCATTTGCCCAAAGCAGCCCAGCTAACCACAGGAAGTACAAGTTAGCAGTGGGGCCAGGGCCTCCCCTTGCACGACAGGAAGTCTGGGCTTTTCCACCATGGGTGCACTTGAGAATAAAAGTGTCTGATCCATTTACATCATCTAGAAATATGAAAGTTGCCAGCAGAACTGAAAACTGGAAATCCATCACTCTGAGGAGTCAAGCAAGGTGTGAAAAGCAATAACTTAGTGTTTCCGGTTGGAAATTTACATGAGACAACTTTATTTAAAATAACTTTGTAAAGAAGGAGCTCCCTGGTACAAGACAGGAGCGTGGCACTTGCTGCTGACGTCCTAAGGAGACAGGGTGCTGCCTCCTTCGACCCAGTGGGCCTTTGCAGCTGATGGGTGACAGCAGGCCATTCCAAGCGTACCACCTCTCTTCCCTTGCTGTCTTTGTGGGCCTTTTAAACGATGGAAGTGACAATATGAGTGATGGTGAAGTGTGGCCTTATTTCCTGGTGGGGCCAGGCCAGCAGGACACTACAGAGAAATCCCAGCTATCTTTTCTTGCCAGTGTGGTCTGTGTGGGAGGCCAAGGCAGCACTGTGGCAGAGGGAGGTGGGAGGCTTGGACTGAGGACATGACAGGTGTGACTTTCATAGCCCGCCATGCTGACTGGCAGACCTGGTCGGTGTTGGCCTTTGGTTCCCAGGGTCACCTCTCCAAAGCCTGCTGTGTGGGCACATGCACAGGCAGCATTTGGTCTCCTCCCTGCTGTCCCTAGAAGGAGGACTGGGAGGAGCAGCTCAGGCCTCTGCAGAAGCCTGTACTTGAGCAATTTCCTCCTTCACCTATTAAGCACATTGAGAGCCCCCATACCCAGCACTGAGCCAGGTCCCGGGCTTATATGGGAGGCAAAGAAAGGCAAGGAGATGAGTGACAGGGTCAGATCTGGAGGCAGCATCACCAGGGTGGCCCAGACTGGGCCGAGTGTGTAGGCAGGGACTGGACCCCTCCACCCGCACCTTAGGTGCTTTGGGCAGTGTTTCCCAAGGCAAAGTCCACAGCCTGGGACCCATCAAGGACTCTAGGAAGGGGTTTTGTAGTCACAGACACAGCTTCCCTTGCTCTGCACCAGTGTGCTAATCCATATCCTGCAGGCTCCAGCAAGACCTAGGATGAATCAGAACATTTAAGTCAGAGCCTCTGCCATGGGTGTTTGTTTACAACATACCACATACTTGCGAAGTGTCCCCTCTCTTAACTCTGGGGTGATCTTGCTTCCACAGGACATTTGGCAATGTCTGGAGATATTTTTGACTGTCATTACTGAAGGGAGGCACCTGCTGCTAAATATCCCACAATGCATGGGACAGGACACAAAGCCTACATGGTAATAGCACGGAGGTTAGGAAGCTCTGTCCTCCAGTGACTCAGGATGTCAGTGCAGTGCAGCTCAAGCATCCTTGGGCCATGGCCCAGTAAAGCAGGAAGTGATGGCACACGACAGCAATAACCTGTCACTGAATCTGAGACCCAGCTTCTAACCCCTCTCCAAACACATATTTTAGTATCTGAGACATCAGATATATCAAGGATCAGTAGTGCATCTTAATTGAATTGGAAGCATTTTTTTTTTTTCTGTCTCAGTGGTACATAATCTCCAGGTATCTAACAATCAGAGGCATTTTAGACTTGTGAAGTTATAACTTGCTGAACTGGGGCCTCTGGCCTGTTGGTTCTCTCTTAGGCATTAGTTTCCCAGTTGGTAACTTGAGGGCCTGCAGGAGGATGGAGCAGCCTCCCTATTTCCTGACACTGGGTGCCTCCTCCCAGCAGCATGCAGACATCTCTGCATCCATCCACCCTCCCGGCTGGAAGGGAAGAGAACCCAGCATTCATACACTAGCAGGGTCCAGGATGAAACTAAGTCTTAACTGCAGGATAAAAGATGTTTCTCTAGAGGAGTATGCATTTTCTCTTGTTTTTTCTCATTCTGTTTCACAAACAGCTTTCAAGGTGTTGAGTTTTATTATGGGAAGAGGCACAGAGACAGTAAAAAGATGGGTTTGCTTCAAAACTCAACTCCCTGCACTTGGGTTCCTGGGGTTGTGGTCTCTTCTGGAGACTCATTGGGCCCCTGATCTCAGCCTCGTTTACTTTGTTCATTTCTTCAAAAGGCACAGTGCTGGAGTGGGAACCCTTCTCATTCTAAAGTATGCCAGCTGTTATTCTTGGTGGTGGGGCTGTAGCCCTGGACAAAAAAAACACTGGTGTCTGTTCCCCAGGAACCTGCAGTGTAGGGGGAGTCAGGCAAAGCACACAGGATAGAGGTCACTTGTTCTAATGCAAATAATAAAAGTATGGCTGTGTGACAGAGAGTGACTGGGAGTCAGGGAAGGCCTCAGTGAGGAAGTGACATTTACACTAGAAATTAAGGAGAGCAGCACAGTGTGTGTGTGTGTGTGTGTGTGTGTGTGTGTGTGTGTGTGTGTGTGTGGGCAGAGGTTCTAGGCCATGAGACAGCTAATGCAAAGGCCTGAGGCAGGAATAACTTTGACAGATTTGAGAACAGAAAGCAAATCAGTATGTCTGCATGTCTGGAGAGTAGGGACAAGCTGGGGATTGGTATGAGAGGAGGGAGGGGAGTGGACCAGGTCAGCTAAGCCAGAGGAAGGTGTGGGGTTTCGTTCTGAGTGTGACGGTTGGGAGGGGTGACAGGCCACACAGTGGAGATGTGCTGTCTTACTAGGAAGCCACCAGGCTGCAGCTGGCTCTGTAGAGACTGCTGCACAGATTGGCAGGGATAGGGGCATTACCTGCAGATGGGGGGGTGAGGGGAATGTGGAAAACCATGCCCCCTTTCCTGACCACAAACATCCCTCTGGGATGCTGATAAAGGGGTCAGGGAGGATGTCAGGGGGAACCGCAGATAAACCCAGCCAAACCAGCTCAGGCAGCCTCTCTCCCGGGAGCCAGCGGGTAGGAAAGCCTCAGGGCTGGGCTTTACTTCTGCGCTGGAGCTTCACTGGGCTGATTGTGTCAGCCTTGCCTCCTTAGTGTCCCCAGGGTTACGGAGCTGTGTTGATTCAGTAGCTTTCCTAGGGCTGTGGACTGCTGCACTTTCTGGATGAGAAATAGTTTAAACCACAAGTCCCAAGATGCTTTCCAAAACGGCTGCAGATACTGGGAGTCTGCTCTGGGCTGGTGAATACAGTGTAGAAATAGTGCTTTGTAGAGAAGAGACATAGTAACAGGCAAAAGGAGAGAAAATGTGAGTGAAGAATGAGGATCTGGGCATTTTCATGTCTGAGTCACTGGGATGAATGACAGAGGAGAGCCAGCTTTCTGTGACCACG